AATTGAATAATTAGAAATATCCAATCACATCAACCGTGGAAATGTCACTGTATCAGTTGAGCATTTTGTGCTATAAATTAATTTCAGAATTCTGCAAGGAAGTTCAGGACTTACTCTTCGTCTTGAGTCTATGCATGTTGTTGTTTGGCTTTATTAAGTAATGGTTTTCGTAGCTGCTAAAGCTTTGTTGAACGTTTCCATCAAAACGAATTTGAAATAAAGGATACAATCGATACAATTAAGTCTGTTTCATATCTTGACTTAAAACTATAAATTGACAATGAGCGTCAATTGAGAACAAAACTTTACGACTAAAGAGATTATTATAGCTTCCCAGTTGTGAATTTTCCTTTTCTATGTAACTACATTTCAGCAGCGCCTGCATAAGAAGTATATATCTATCAGTTGATACGATATTCCTTGCCTTGCGTTTTCTATCTTGATTTCCATTATAAAGGGTTGCTGCATACAAGGAAACTACTAAACCAAGAGTTTCAAGTGGGGGAGTTGATGTCATCCCTTTGAAATTTTTACTGACGCCATCACGAGTTGGTTGACCGTTATAGAATATCTGACAAATGGCGACAGATACGTAAACACAATCCCGTCCCCCTTTCCTCCGAATTTGACCTATAGAATTCGACTTATCATCAAGTTTGTACTTGCATGAGCAATACGACGGGTGCCATATGTAAAGCAGTATGTGCTTCCCCTTCCGGGAGTAACTTAGATCACTCCGGTTTTTGTTGGGGTTTGTTTTCCTCAGTTTTTAGATTTCTATGTTATTTTTTGTGTGCTGTCATTTGTCCTCTGGTCTTCTAGAAACACAGTTCAGCAATAAGTTTCTATAATTTTGATAGCATATGTTTCATTTCTATATCAATATATGATCATTCATGTAACTCATTCGGATAACTAGTACATCGGATAACTAGTACGGGTATTTACTGGTAACAATTTTTCTCTAATTCTTCGTCAATTTATCACTTTCTGCACCCATTGTATAAAAAAATTTTAATCAACGTGTGGTTCGTTTGATCTCAGTTCTTCATTGGTTAAAATCAGATTATGACGTCAAATTTTCTTGCTTTTCTCTGAAATTCCTATTGTGACGGCATGAAAAAAGGCGACCATGGCTGATGACGTCATATAGAAAGAACACATTTTTTTACAGATCATTTAAAAAGAAGGAATAAGTTTGCCTGCATATTGTTTGAAAATCATTAGAGAAACAGATTACACCACCAAATCTCGTGTAATACGATGTTAATCCACCATCGACAGTTAAATATTAAATATTTAAAACGCTCGGCAAGCCTTGCGTTTTAAATTAGAAAATTTATCTGTCTCGAGTGGATAAATATCGTATCACACTCGATTCAGTGGTAGAATCTATATATATCAAGTTTTGTTTAATCAGGAATTCAATGGAGATACGATTTAAACTTTGATTTATGAGAGGAATAAATACGTCAATAGAAGGAATCAGTTATCCTAGTCGATTTTATATTATGAGTATGTTTTTCCAAAAAACGAACATTGATATTATTAATCTAAATTGATGCTTGGTCAATATCTCTGGGTGCCCAATAAGTTTATTCATGTGTATTGTATACCGTTACAAGAACAAATGAATAAACCAAGACAAAAAGTGTAAAGCTAAAATTTTCGAAGAAGGACAAACTGTCACCTAAGACTTCCAAGAATTATTAAAAGTTAAAACATGGATTATACCTCTTCTTTCAATAAAGGTCAACTTCCATTTTCTGAGTAACATTACTCTCCCATGCCATACGTTTGCATATCTCAATTTATACTTTACTCTCGTATATCGTCACACTTTACGCACTTCATCATCATTGGTGTGCTCCTTACAATGCACATGTTCTAATAGAGTAGTAACAAATGAATGAGGAAGAACGACTTAAATCGACAGTAAGTAAGATTTACGCTCACCATTACGATATGGCTGACAGAATCGATATGTTTGTATCACTTCTCATTATCGACAGTCTTAGATATGTTGAAACCAGAAAAGTCGTCTTATCTGTTAGATATAAATCTACAGATTTTGTCCAATTCCCGATTGTTACCTTTTGACTTTATGTGGATTTGCGTTGCGGGTGATGCATGCATATCAGGAGACGATTACCTTGTCGACGCACTCGTTCCCGCTCCTTTTTTGAGTGCATGTGATTCTCTCAGTATTTGTTTGTTACCTTGATTTGTCTCCTTAATCCATATTTTTGGATTTGAACATCGGGAAACTACTGTTGCCTTAATTTACATAATTTTTGTCATAATTGTTGATAAAGAATGTCTATATTGTTGTAAATGCTCAAGTCAGAAGAAGAATTGAAATATTTATAGCTGACTATTTTGTTTGGTGCAACATAAACTTTATTTTCCTATTATAAAATGTAAAAATTGCATCACTGTGACAAATGATATTCGTTGAATTGGATATTATGTTTTTTTTTTCTCAAAGCTTATATTGATTGAAAGGTTCTGTTTTTAATTAATCGTGAAAACGAAATTGATTTATCTCTTTGAACTCATTTAAATGTATTACATCATTAACAATGAAAAACCTTTAGTTTAAAGTTAAAATTTCTCGTTTAAAAGTCCACGTTTGAAAAAGAGGCGGATAGTTATTAAATACATTCTACTGATATGAAAATTGCAGTAATGAAAGAATATATCATATTGATAATTTTTCAATACTTTGAAGGTAAGTTGTAATTGTTTTATATATTAAAACGCTTAAAGACAACACTTATCTATAAACACAATGTATACTTATGGTTTATAAAGAAGATTGTTTTGATCTGTGTCGACTCATTGGATATGAATCAAAATCTGTGCAGATACATGGGTAAAACAACAAAACATGACTTCATATTAAACCAGCACACATAGAGTTTAACAATATTTGATCAACATAGCGTAACCAAAAATATACTCAGCTGGGCATTCCATCAAATTTTGACGCCAATCGAAACCTGTTTACATATCAAACAACAATATGTAATAATCATATTCATGCAAGCATATACTAAAAGAGGGACGAAAGATACCAGAGGGACAGTCAAACTCATAGATCGAAAACAAACTGACAACGCCATGGCCAAAAATAAAAAGACAAACAGACAAATAATAGTACAGATGACACAACATAGAAAACTAAAGACTAAGCAACACGAACCCCACCAAAATCTCGCTTTCAGTAAATATATAATATTACTCTCTTAAATATGTTTTCATGGTTTTTAACTTTTCCTTATTCTGAAAAACATTTGGCTAAACGGTGACTGAAATATTGTATCAGCATTTCTTAGTATTGTACATACGTCTAAAATAAATTTCTGACAGAGTACGTTCACATTCCTATTATCAATGATATGATCAAATCAGCATTAATACCGATAAATAAGCATGTGCAATACTCATGACGTAAACCTGTTTATATTCATCATGGATGAATACAGTTTTAAAGTTCCGGACGATAAGGAAAAAAACCTATTGACCAAAGGGCTAATACAGGATTTTCAATTCCAGTTCAGAATTATTTAACACGTATTGGACATATTTTTTTTAATAAGATTAATTTTTATCATATTGTTTTTAATTTAAAAGAAAAGAGTTTTAATTATGATCCGTGTTTTGTTACGATTTGAATTGGAAAAAAAATCACTAGCTTTTCAAAGTAAAGTTTTCAGTTTACATAAAAAACAAACATTAACGCAGACTTAAGGAACAAGAATGATCAACTGTTCTAATTCATTCTTCCCGGATATTTTATATTTGATTAATAGAATGAATTGTCTTACACTGTTAAAAAATATTAAGTTCTTTGACTGGAAACTAGAAAATATCGTCAATATGTAGAAAAATTGTGACAGTGAAATGTGAAAAGATAAGTTTCGTAGTTAACTCGAAGAGTAAGAATCATTGAATAAAAGTGTTATAAACTATCTCTGATACAGATTTTCGATCAGCTGTGTTGGCTATCAACTCTTTAAAGCTCGGATCCAATACAGCTATGCTCGAATCGATACAAGGGACAATAAAGAAAAAGCCAGTTGATACAATATATGATTTTGTACGACATTTTGCATGCAGTGTAATATCTAATATATATATTTTTTCTCATATATTTCTTTCGAAACGATTCTAACATTAAAGTAAACACATGGGCCTATCTCACATTTACATAATTTTCATATCCTTTTTCATTGCATTTTAATTTGCAAAAGAAATCATGATTGATAGTTTTTGTTATTATTTGAGTAGCGAACATCCTGAATTTTTCTCAACATAAATTTATATGTTCAGAAATTCCAATTAACTATGCTCTGAATAATGTCCGATGTAATAACCTTTTATTATTTAAGAAGTTGGCCTTAGTTTTAAGGAAGTTCGAGCATGGTCTTATATGCTATACGTTTGAACCATTCATGTCTTATTTTCATTCCCTACGGACTCACCACAATTATGAAGTGTTTCATCTTTTGTTTTAATTTTCTATACTGTTTTCGTCCTTTGAAATCATCACGTGTTTAGCAAACGTCAGGAATCAAATTGATATTTTGGGGTCATTAACCCATTTACAGATTTAGAAGTTTCCTATCTTTAGTCTTATTTGTTAAACCCATTTACATTATTTGTATACTCAAAATCCTTATTATGTAGTTTTCCATTCATCATAATAAACCCATTCGTAAGGTGACATTTAGAGATACGTATGAATTTTATCAAATACTCTTGGTCGGTTGAAGTATCCTTGTTTTTCTGTACATGTTCTTAACATTTATAATTGATATGATTAAGGAGATAATAGATATAACGTTGACGGGTGCTCCGTCAAATACATGAAGAAAAAAGACAGAAGCACAATAATTATTATACTTTATATTCTTCAATAAATAAGCCGTTCAAACGATAATCTATCAGGTGACAGTGATAGACTATGAATTGAATGAATTATTTATCCGCCTCTCCAATAATGGATAAACATGCAGCGTTGTATGAAATTTGTATAGGAGGAGGTGGAGGGAAAAAGGTTTTTTTGCGCCGACAGGACGCTACATTTGAAGATGTTGTCAGTAACGTACTTGGAGACGGAAGCACACAATGTAAATCATTTCAACCATTTTGGATTTCATGGCAAACTGGAAATATTAAGATAGGCAAAGGATTATCTATAGACAACGAAGTAGTGGTTGATTGGAGTGATCCTAATACCTTCATTATCCAGGGTTTAGGTGTGAGAACAGGCATTGGACAATCAGGACAATGGACTATTTATATGAAAGGTAAACATGCATTAATAACCTCACATGAATCAGTTACTTTGGTTGAACTCTATTGTAACGTTTTGATATCAGTCATTCATTTCAAAATTTAGAGAGTGTTATATATGTTTTTCATTGACCTATTACGAAACAAACATCAGTATTGAAATGGTCGTTTTTGCATGAACACTTAACAAACAAAAATGCATATCAAAAATACCGAACTCCAAAGTAAATTAAAAAAGGGCTAAAATATCACAATTTCTGTGCCTGGCATCATATAAACCTCTTTAAAAATCCTAACATTTATGAAAGAGTTGGGTTTATTTTTACCTATGATCCATGGATTTACCTATGTTTGTTGTTTACCAATATACATGAAAAATCAAGATAATTGGTATAAAAGAGTATAACAAATATTACGAACTTCAACGTAAATTCAAAAAGAGGAGTTCATAAAACTGAAACATCAAACGTTATATAAAAAAAGGAACGAGTGAAAAACAACTGTCATATCCCTGACTTGGTACAGGCATTGACCGATGTTGGGTTCAACAAGATTGTATATCTAGCTAAACCTCCCACTTGTATGATAGTTGTTTTTATTGTTCCGTTAAATTGACGAAATTGGATGAGCAATACGAAAATAATTAGGACCACCAAGCAGCTGAAACTGTGTAAACATACATCACAGACGTACAACACAACGAAAAAACAAGTAAAAAAATTTCTAACAGAGCCGCATACAAAACGTTGCTGTAATTGATTGTAAATTCAAGAAAGACGCCGACACAAAAGTATTTGTAGTTTATAATACATACCGTATATAGTATACACTTCCCGATACAGTACAAACTAAGTAAAATAAAAATACAATGAAACATAGTGGAGTTAACACTTTAAAATTCCCTGCATTCAAATTGTACCTCAGAACCAACTTGCACCAGGAAAGTAAAACAAAAAACAGATTGCGGATTGGATAAATACAGAGTCATTTCAAAAGGCATACGACCAAAATAAAACATAATAGCACGAAGGCAAATAAGGAGAAAATTAAATAAAAAGATACACAACTTCAACACGTAGAATCTATAACTCAAGACCATCTTGTATTATTTGTGAAGTTGACACTGAATAGTTGTTTATATGGTCTTGGTACTTTCCGATGAGCTTTTTGAGAAAAAGGACGAGAAGTTCTTTGACAAAACCCTGTTTCGTTAATTTTTCCTCAAACACCAATGACGTTTTACAAAGTCTGAGTAGCATTTGAAAGCTCTTGGATATTGTTTGAATTAAGAAATGAATACTCCATGCGCGGTCGAAGTTTGTATATTACTGCTTAGGTAAGGAAAATTTATAATTTCAAAATTGAAATCGTCTCTTTTGTCATAGAATTTGGTACTGAGATGACCGTTGTGGTCTAGAAATGAGACAGAGGAAGCTGTATCTGTGGTTCCGCAATCTCTAGTTTATGGGGATATATTAGTGGGACCCAATCAGAAAAGTTTGGATTGTTGATGGAGAGAATATCATTAATAAACCTGTATGTGAAATTAAATAAAACTTCTTTGATGTTCTTATTTTTACTAGTGTCTGAAAGCAATCCGACTCAAATGAAAACTAGAAAGGTCGTAAGGGGTGTTCAGTTGGTTCCCATAGGAATGCCAACAACCTGTAGGAAAATTCTATCTCCAAATAAAACAGATATATTGTCAATGAAAAACTCTAGCATACTTATCACTTGTTCTTCGATGTAGCATGTTATATTTTTGGGCTTATTTTTAACAAAATATGCAGAATTATATTCCAAAAACACTACATATATAGCGTATTGTACCATTTTATGGAGGAATGTATTGTGGACTATTTATTTAGGACTGATTTTAAATTTTTCATGTGGTATGGAGGGATAAAGGGTGGAAAATCTATTTTTATTACGAAAATTGCAAGAAAAACGATGTTCGTTTAAACGTGCACTTGCTGCATTTACATGGTACCATTTAAGATAAATTTTAAATTAGAATCTTAATTGACACTCAATAAAAATTCAACGTTGCAAATACGTGGAAACTATTAAATATAAGTTTCCATTAAAGAAGTAAAGTATATGAAATGCTTAAACATTTACTTTAAAGTTATCTGTTCTATTATTTCAGCTCTTGGTTACTTTTGTTTACACACAGAAACCCGGGGTACAATGGAACTAGTCAAGACCACTTTAGCGACGGAATATACTTGTCCTTACTTATGCCATGGAAACCATAACTGCATGGGATTCAATTTTAATGTACATACAAGTGTATGTGAATTGATATCGACTGGAGAGCCAATGCTAACAGTAACGGACTCAGGTTGGACATTTGGTACAAAATGTTTCCAGGGGAAATGTTTTGCTTGTATATAGTACAATACAGATGACGTGTTTCGTTTTGCATAATTTATTGGTGTTATTAAAATATATCCTTCATAATGAAGAATTGTAATACATTCTATGTATTGAATAATGGATGTATCCGGTTAATAACAAACCTTTTCAAAGCATATAAGCCAATTATAAATTACATTGTGAAGAAATCCGTCGTGTGAAAATAACTTGTTTACGATTATCACTTTATACAATTGCTTACGATTGATTATCTACCAACCTATACCATTGACTGTTTCTATATTCATAAATGACAGTATTTTGAATAGACATGATTGACAACTCTAACTTGCTATGTATCTAGTGGTAAACACTAAATGAAAATCCAGTAGTAAGAATTTACATTTAAAGATGTTTTTCATGTTAAAAAGACAACAACAAAAAACTGAAATCAAAGGAATGGAATAAGAGCTAACGATGCCGGTCTAGTGTGTTTCAATTAGTATATGCATATTGTAGGTATTCGAATATTATAGTTCGAAAATAATTTAAGATATCAATTGTAGAATTTTATAATTAAATAGATAAACAATAAGGTTAATGATTATTTAAATTAAAAAAAAAAGGTTTGAATGTTTCCAACCTGTTGACAGTTTCGAATTTTCGACTTTCTACATTGCAATTCCATACACTCTGATCAAGGAGAAATCTGTATGTTTAATCAAATAGACATTCGAAACAATACGAATTTTAATTTATATCTTGTGACTCATAAATATTATACAAATCGTTTCTTCTGTACTCAGAAAGATATTATATGAAAGCACATGTATTCGTAATGTAATGAAATGATTCATTCTGTACATGTTCTTTTGGACACCATCTTTGAACGTTTTTGTAATGATGTTTATCCACATGTTGAAGGTATTTCTATGGACTACAGTTTAATCACTTTAATAGCAGACTTGTTCTTGCATTGCTTTAAATCACAGTTTATGACCAAATTTATTGTTTAGGGTCAACTGAAGCCTGCCTCTTGGTGCGGGATGTTTTGGCTGCGTTGAATACCCATTAGTTTGGACTGTTTTCTGCTCTTTGCTTGGGTTGTCGTCTCTTTGACAGATACCCCGTTTCCGTTCTCCGTCTCAATTTCATTAAATAGAAAAAAATCACTTATCGCTACCTTGGTTAAATTTTTGCTTACACTAATCAAGAGTTTTCAGGTTATATGGAAGAAAATTACATCCAAAGAATTAGCTTTTGATATATATAATATCAACAATAATAACTGACCCTGTTTAATTATGATAATTTCGATTCAACATGGGAACTATATCCTTAACCGTACAACTGATGAAATGATTGCTTGTTCTCTATTGTTGCTTTTCTTTTTTTGGACGATAATGTCCCTTCGGCTCCTGATTGCGGGTAGGTATTCCCTTTACCCTCAGGCGTCAAACGGTCATTTGCGGTTACCGTTAGCGTCATATTAGTCAAAACTTTATCGTGATTTGTCAAAACATCCTTATCGTGATTCGTCAGAGATCCAAATTATTATCCGTTATTATTTTTTTTGGAAAGAATTTAACGTGATTCGTCAAAATCAGTCGATTTTCTATCGTCATAAAGAAAATGCACATTGATCGTCATGTACCAAAAATTACCGTTAACGTCATTTGGCAAGATATTTTCACCGTTAACGTCATTTGGCAAGATATTTTTACCGTTATTCGTCATGAAGGTACCCACATTACGACCCTCCTGATTATGCTAGGCAAATTTCTTTAACTCGTTTGCTCTGCCAGCATCTGTATTGATGGTGCAGATTTCAACGAGCTGGTTGGCCGTTATGGAATAACCGTTTTACAGATGATATCGGATATGTTCCTTATGTCGTAACTACAATACCTTCCCTTTTCACGAATGTGACTTACCGAATTAGACTATTTACCGGATTTGTAATAACATAATCAACACGATGGGTGCCACATGTGGAGCTTGATCTGCTTACCCTTCCTGAGCACCTGAGATCACCCCCAGTTTTTGGTGGGGTTCGTGTTGTTTAGTCTTTAGTTTTCTATGTTGTGTCATCTGTACTATTATTTGTCTGTTTGTCTTTTTATTTTTGGCCATGGCGTTGTCAGTTTGTTTTCGATCTATGAGTTTGACTGTCCCTCTGGTATCTTTCGTCCCTCTTTTTCAATGAACGATATTATGACTAACCAATAAATTATCGTCAGGAACTTCGTTACTCTTATTTACATACAACCTTCAAGAAAGCTTTGTCTTGAGTCTGAAGGAAGCGTATGACAAACGGGATTTACAACGATGTTGTTTACATGGTTTATTGAAATTAACAAATTAATTGTTTATTATTCCTTTGGAATAAACTAAGTCTTAATAGTTATAAGTTTGGCATTTTTGAAGTAAGATCTTAACAAATGTCATTGTCGATGTTACATTGATTTGATCCTCATACATATTTTAGATTAATACATAAGTGTGTATTGTTATACGGGTATTAACACATGTGACCAAACATTCCGTCGATTCTTATATTTTGGCATAGCACAAATCGTCTTTCTTTTTTCTACTTCCTCTTTATCTAAAGAGTCAATATAAAAATCAAGAAATATTGTATGATTTGCAATAAAACAAGTATCTACCAAATTCAAATGAAGTGAATATAAGTTATTATAGGCAGCTGTACGGTCTTCAACAATAAGAAAAAACCATACTGTATAGTCGGCTATAATAGGTCCCGACATAAAAAATATGAAAGAATTCAATGGAGAAAACTAACGGCCTAATATTAATTTATGTATAACATAAACATTTTTAGAGTACACAAATATGACAGACATGAACCAAGGAAAACCACTCAGCTTTAGCTCCTGGCTTGCGACAGGAACATAAAAAATGTGGCGGGGTTTAACGTGTTTGAAGGAGCCAACCTTCCCGTAACCTGGAACAGTGGTGTTACAGTACAACATAACAAAAAACTATAAAAATCAGTTGAAAAGGACTCACTTCATCAGATCGATACAACGCAGAAAAAAATATTGAACAAAAACACAGACCGGACGTGGCAGAGTATTTGTTCATCACTCACAACAAAAAAGTCACGAAGTACAGATCTACGAGTACGCACAGTTAATGACACCTAGTAAAAAGCCCGTTCCAACTCATATATGTTTTGTTTGATAATGTTGTGCTGATACTACAATATCTCTGTTCTAGGAAAGTAGAGCATTGAACAATCACAGGCATTTAAAACCCCGCCTAATTTATTGTGTGCATGTAATAAGCCAAAATTGATATGTTATCCAGTGGTTGGTTGGTGTCTGTCATATTGTCTTTTGGTCATTGATGTAGTATTAGTCAGCCATTTGGTTTTTCACTTTAAACTTGATTAACATTTTGACATACCCGCTTAATTTATTGTGTGCATGTAATAAACCACAATTGAAATGTTATCCAGTTGTTGGTTGGTGTCTGTCATATTGTCTTTTGGTCATTGATGTAGTATTAGTCAGCCATTTAGTTTTTCACTTTAAAACAGATTAATATTTTGACATACCCAGACGTGAATAGCTTTTTATATGGTATGATGTTTACTCATTGTTAAGTTGCTCTCTGGTTACATATAAGTTATTTTCATAATAGGCTCTTAATATTAATGAATAATTTTTTCATCAGTTATCATACTGCATCTCCTGGTTTTTATATTTACCAAATAGCATTTTCAGTTGATATGAAAATTGGTGTTCCCCAAAGAAAGTATAGCAATACATTTATAATATAATATGCATTATAAATGAGTTAATCAATGAATGCATTTTAACATCTTATGTTTCTACAATGGTATATATTTTTGACATTATATGCGTATTCTTTATAAATTGTCATTGTATCAACTTAATATATTCACATTTCAATAAAAGTATCAAAATCTTTTATTTCGCTGTTGAAAAAAACTTTCAATGAATCAAATTCTTACACAATAACCTCACCTATGCAACCAAAGTATAATTACTTGTTTCAACTAAAGAAGTGGTAACCGTGCTTTTTATGATTTGTTTACAGATTAAATGTTTGTAGTTAATACTATAAAACATTTTCAAACCTATAATCAATTTCAGCTAAAAATGATACTTTCTTTGATTAAAAAAATATTTTTCCAAAAGATTTCTAAACAATTTTTTAAAAAGTAATATAACAAAACTATACAGGTAAAATATTTACGGACGTATCACGGACGTTATAAAAAACGTCCGTAAAACATCTGTATCACGGACGTTGTATGTAAAAATAGTACCACGTCAGTAAAACGGATGTTCAGTATAACAGACGTTCTAAAACATCCATTTACGGACGTTCTTCAAACATCCATATTATGGCTGTAAAAGCACATGTTGTGTTGTCATGAAAAAAAAACTTTGTATAACATTTTTTTGTATTACTGGTTTGCTGTTTCATAGTAAAGGTGCCATTATATTTGGGGCATGGACCACCTTTTTTGGCTGCAATGTAAAAAAAAAACAACTTTATATTTCGATACAATTTGTTACCGTTTCTACTATCCACATGAACCACTAAGCTTTTTGTTCACAAGGGGTTCGTGTGGATAGTAGAAACGGTGTTTTAATCGGATAATTATGGATTTTTGAGACGTTGTATTTGTCTACACATTGAAGAAAAATGTAAATATGGAAAAATAGATAGATTTTTTTTATTATATCTCCAGCAAAGAATATTTAATGAGAAATTAGAACATGCTTTACATTGGTAATGTAGGAAGATCTTGTTGGTAGACCTTGTTGAATACGAATTGCCAAGTATATTTTAGTTTATTTCAAATTTTAGAATTATAGTCCTTTGTTTGTTAAATGCATATGTTGACATTGGCTACATATATAAAAAAAATCGAATAAATATACACGGTTTTAAGGTAACACTATATGCTGAGTTACTAAATTTTCGATTTTCAATTAAATGCAAAACAAAAGGATATTTCTTAAAGTTTATCATCTCTTTACAAAAATGACTTTTTATGACAATTTTGCACCAGGAAACAATTTGGAAAGTAGCTATACCTATACATTTTTTGTTTGAAATCCAAACACAAAAAGACTTTTCTCCAAATTTGAGATTTTTTCAAAGCAAGCTGGACCGCATGTGTGCCTTAAAAGCATTTGTGTTTCAGTCTTGTTAGGTTGTTAGCGTTTCAACTAATTCCGTGCTAAAGGTCAAACATTCTTACTCTGTAATACCTATCGACCTCCCGAATTGACAGACGGTCATTATTGGACACGCTTAAATCATGCAATAGGATTGGCTTATCGATTAAATGAAAATATCGTAATTACGGGTGACCTGAACAGTGATTTATTCAAGACGCAGAACAACAAACTAATAGAAATTCTAAATATATTTAATTTACGAAATGTAATTGATAAACCAACTCGAATGACAAATCATAGTAGCACACTACTCGATCCAATTATTTTAAGTGACACTATGTCGTACTATATCTCAGATGTTATACCAACGACTGCTAATACAAGCGACCACGATGCACCAATCATTTTTCTCG